CTCCTTTGCTACTTTGCTGCTACGAATCTGTCCATGTGTGGCATGTAGATGCATGTGAGGCATCAGGCCACCTTCATGGTGTACGGCCAGTTCTCATCCAGAGGCCACCAGGCTCAAGTCTCGTTGAAGTTCCCTCCCTGGCCAAAGCGGCCTAGCGCTATCGCCCGAAGCTGCCGGCGCTAGGGGCTTGGGCGTTGCCCGAAGCTGTGGTCGCTATGCCCGGCTGTCCCTGGCGGCCCACGGCGGCTGCTCTTGCTCGCGCGCGGGAGCAGAGCTTGGCCAGCATGGCGGGTGGGGGAGTCTGCCGCAGCTATGTTGGGAGTTGGGAGTGGGTGCTGGGCGTCGCGGTGCTGCACGGTTATCTTCGCCGCCTGCAATACGCTATATGGAGCTTTGACCAGGGCACCGACGGTGCACCTGGCTGGAGATTTGAAGACTGTATATGGAGCGTGCCTCTTGAGATTGTTCATTTCAACTCCACTGGCATCTACGTATATGCCGCCTCGCGCGTCAGGACAAGTGGGCTAGTTCCGTGTTTTGAAAGAGAGTGGGCCTGCGTTATTTTCCTGATTGTTCATGTTCGGTCGTTGAGAGCAAGACGGGCTCATTCCCTTTTTTGAAAGAGAGTGGGCCTGTGCAATCTTCTGCCGAGCTGGTTTTGAGGGGAGTATTGGTGGTTGGGCGAGAGCTCTTGCGTGCCTTTGGGTTATTCGACCATACAGAGTAATTGGAGCCAATTTTGTGCGGGATGCGGGCCCGATGTTGTTGTGCGTAGTATGGTAGGTTTAGGTGTGGGAAAAGCATAGAAGCTCCCCGTGGCAAAACCTTTGTATCGATTTCTCCCCAAAATGGACTTGCTGCATTTGAGGTCCCCCAATAACTTTTCTGTTATTCTTGCTCCCCGGTCTGAGCCGGTAGGGCCTCAGTCCGGGGCTGAGGCCGCGGCAGATTGATAACCAAGGCTACCCAGTTGTACGTGGGCGATATTCGGGTTCGGTACATTTCCAGCCGCCAGCCAACCCAGTTGTACGTGGCCGATATTCGGGTTCGGTACATTCGAGAGGGCATAGCATACTCGCGTCCGCACTTCCTTCACCTCACCTGGGCCCGATTCAAGAAAGATACATCCAAGAAAGTGCAAGTGTGGCATAGGTCCGAAAATGACTTCCCGCCATTTTTGCATAGCGGGCGTTACCGGCCCAGTACGGCCGGAGGTACTTGGGCCTTCACCTCACCTGGGCCCGATTCGAGAAAGATACATCCAAGAAAGTGCAAGTGTGCCGCAGGCCGAATGGAAACTTCGAAAAGAGCCAAGCTTATCAGCTATCGCGGCCTCAGACCCGGTCTGAGGCCCTACCGGCCTCAGACCTGGGAGCAAGAATTACAGAAAAGTTATTGGGGGACCTCAAATCCAGCAAGTCCATTTTGGGGAGATATCGATACAAAGGTTTTGCGGGGGGGTGCTTCTATAACTTTTCCCTTTAGGTTTTTGCTTCCGTTTGTCTAGCTTTTCTCTCTGCTCTGTAATACTTGAAAGCGCCGTAGTATAGGCAGGGAGTGGAATGTGGTTTTCTTGGTCTTTGAGGTTCGGTACGTGGTGGTGGTACGATTTTTAGTGCTTTTGCTTTGGTTTTTACTAAGTTCGTTGGGTTTTTGTTGTTCCGAGGGTTTCCAGTGTTTTTCGATGGTGGTGTCTGAAATGGTTTCGAGACTTTTTGGTTCTTCTTTGTTTTAGGTTTTTGCAGTTGGGCTTTGGTGGTCGTGCCCACCATACGTTTTGCTGACATGATTTTGGGTCTTCTTGTTTTGGTTTTTATCGAGGACGGTATTTGGGCAGTATTAGAATTAGATTGTCAAGCTGTGTTTTTCGTTTTGGGGTTTTCCATGGTGGTGGTATGTTTTTTAGTGCTTTTGTCTCTTTGGTAGGTTTTATTTTTCGAGGGTTTCTGGTGTTTTTGGATGATGGTTTCGGAAATGGTTTCGATACCCTTTGGCTTTTGTTTTCAGTCTTAGCAGTGGGGGTTCACTGGTTGTGCTTATCATAGGATTTTTATTGCTGTGTGAGATCCTACGGCAACTGGGTGGTATTAGGAATTAGATAGTTGAGAAGTGTTTTTGTTTTCTGGTTTTCTACAGAGGGATGGCTTGGGCTGGGGAGTGCACCCGAGGCCAGGTGCCCTCTGCTATTTTCATGCTATCCTTTGCTATGTTGATGTAAGCCTTGGGCACTGGGCCTGTTTGAAATAAAATTCCAAGGTCACAAAAAAAAAAAAAAAAAAAAGAAGAAGAAGAAGAATTAGAAGAAGAAGAAGAAGAAGTTGATCCCAACTACCTTCTTCCCCCGAATACAACGTACGGTCATTATTGCTGTATTTGGGGTATCTTTCAGTCTCAATACGGATATAATGACCGTACGTTCTATTCGGGGGAAGAAGGTAGGCGTATAGATTGTCAAAAAGAAGGAAAGAAAGAAAGGAAACAAAGCCAGTGTAGTCTCAATACCTTTCTCGGTCTTTTGGCTAAGATCAAGTGCAGTATCTGTTCTGATCAGTTTAATATCTGATCTGTGGTCCATCTGCAATCAGACTTGTTTTCATTCACACTTTACATGCATGCAAACAGTAGCGCAGCAACTGGCGACATGCGCCCATTCAAAACTCAGAGATATGGCAAACCGAATATGAGTTCACTTTCGATGGCTATGGCGAAACAACGCCCAAACAACTCTCTGTTCGCAAACAGTGGATCACCCTGGATATCCCACATGCTTCTCTCTGAACACTCACACACACACACACTAAACACTAACTACAGCTATGGTGGCTATGGCTACCTCTACCCTATCGCTATGGCTATGGTTCGTCTCTCTGCCCACTTCGTCTTCGGGCTCACTGCAGACCTCCTTGCACAAGTCACTATGGCAGTGCTTCCGCATGGCTCACACAGGAATGAATGAATGGCTGGGCGCTGCCTCTTGATTTATACTTCTGCGGTGCGTTGGTCTGGCCCCTTTCCCAGGCCCGGTGTGCACACAGTCCCATGCGGTTCTTGCTTGACTGGACCGGACTGCCTAGGACTGGGACTGCTGACTCTGCATGGGCAAACTCCACCACTTGCCTCGCCACTTGCCCACTTGCCTAAGTCTGTGGGACTCTCCGAAAGGCCACTTCTCAGACCTTCCGGAAGGCTGTGGACTTGGCCTTTCGGTCCTGTAGCAGGTACGACTTTGACCCTTCTGGACTGTAGCAGCTACGACCCTGACTCTTCGAGAAGGCTACAGCTACGACCCTTAGACCTGACTAGGAATCCTATCCGACAGGTCTACAGCTCGAACCCCATGCTACCTATGGACCCTATGACAACCTATCAACTGTTAAAAATACACAGGTCGGGGGTTCAAGTCTACGGGGCGACACAGGTACTGTACACAGGTAAGGTGGGGACTAGGGATAGAGCCCTGGGATCTGCATCAGCTACTGTGAACTGGTGAATACCGTTTCACATTGGACCGTAAAAAAAAAAAAAAAAAAGCAAAAAGCGAAAAAAAAGCCCTGTGCCCGCCTAGGGGGGAGCAACGACCAAACCTGGATCTCTGCCAGCCCTCTGACGCCTCCGACCTTGGCCTTGCTTCGTCCCAAAGTGTTTATGGGGTAAGTTTTTTGCACAAAGCGTCCCGCATCTGCTAACATTGTGAATGCAGGGTCATCCAATTCTTTTTTTTTTTCTTTTTTTTTTTTTTTCTTTTTTTTTCTTAAGGCTAATTCTTTAAGCCCAACCAATTCAATTACCTGTCGAATCTGGACAGGACGGCCTTTCAGGCCTTTTTTATTGTCATTATAGTATTACGGGGAACCCCGACATCCGTGCTCAAGCCTCCAACGAGGGAACATGCGGGGCCTGCACCCACCAGCAGGTGCGATACCTGTTACAGCAGGTGGGCGATACCGGCCAGGGGTCAGCCGGTAGCACCAGGACCGAGCTTCTTCGATGGGCCAGTCGCTGTGCCTCCCCCATTACCCCTCCCCCATTACCCCGCCCCCTATGAACATCAGCAGAGACTGCTTTTTAATGCCAATTGGGGGGACCAACATGCTATCTCTAGGTGGTGGGCGCCAAGCATGCCAAGGAAGCTACATCAGGCCAATGGGGATTGAACCCAAGACCTTCTGAATGCCACTTGCGTGCCTTACCAACTGAGCTAGGCCGCTGGATCATCCAAAATATTGGTGCAACTGGGGCATCCAAAATATTGGTGCAACTGCGGCCAATATATGTTCTGAAGGCGATACCCGCGGCCACCTTGATCGGTTTTGACTTCAAGAGCGACCTCACGGTCCTCACACTAGGACTTTATTCCTTATTTCTGGACGTGATGACGGTCGTATACATCACAGTCATTCCTTATTTCTGGACGTCATGACGGTCGTATACATCACAGTCATGGCGTAAATACGGTCATATACCTTTGACCAGCCGACGTAGTTAGCTGTGAATCGCTGCGTACATACCGTCAGATACCTCCTTGATGGCGATTCGCTGTCTTGCGCGGAGGGTACGTTGCCAACGTAGTTCAGACGAGGGTGAAATACAGATCCTGGCGTTCTTCTCTGTCTTGGTGGATTGGTTCCTTCGTTTTTTTCCCCCCGGCCGCTCTAGGTCGGCTGGTACCTTGGGTGGTAATTCTCTGCCGTTTGCGCATGTACGGGTCTGACTAGGTCGTCCGAGATGCATGTATGAATGAACATTGATACTTATCGTGGAAGGAGCTCTCTCTCTCTCTGTCTCTGAGCTCTCTCTCTCTCTCTCTCTCTGTGTCTGTGTGTTGCGGAGGAAGCGCTGTCGCTTGGACGGTAGTTTTCTGCCGTTTGCGGATGTATGGGTCTGGGTAGGTCGTCTGAGATGTGTGAACGAGATTTGATACTAATCGTGAAAGGAGTTCTCTCTCTCTCTCGTAGGCTCGTTTACTCTTACGCGGTTCGCGTGAGACTGGCCGTGAGCACGTGACCTCACGGCTATCGCAGGCAGGGGCAGGTAGATACTAGACAGGTGCTGTGCAGGTTTGGCGCTGAGGTGCCGTCGTCCCTGCCGTAAGAAGCAACCCAGCCTTAGGCGGGGGGGGAGTAAGTCCCCGTTGGCTAGCTGCCAACCTCGTGAAGTGCATAAGTGTGGTGCTACAGCAGCTCTTCTAGTGGGAGGGGAAGAAGAGAGAGAGAGAGGGAGGAACTCGAAGCAATGGCATTGGTTGAAGGCGAAGGAAGGGAGGTAGTACAACGAACAGGCGGACCTGTGATAGGCATCGACCTCGGGACTTCTTTCTGCTGCGTGGCAGTTTGGAGAAAGGATGGTGTGGAGATCATCCCTAACGAGAATGGCAATCGCATCACTCCTTCCTGTGTTGCTTTCGTTGACTCTGAGCGACTGGTTGGCGACACCGCGAAGAATCAAGCGGCCATGAATCTGCAGAACACGGTGTACGAGATCAAGCGGCTCATCGGACGCAAGTTCAACGATCCAACGGTCCAGAAAGACGTTCGTCTATGGCCATTCAAGGTCATCGAAGGATCGGGGGGCCAGCCGCGCATCCAGATTAAGACCGAGCAGGAGGCGGAGAAGCTGTACAGCCCGGAAGAGATCTCTGGCATGCTGTTAAGAAAGATGAAGCAGATCGCCGAAGCTTATCTCGACTGCCAAGTCAGGGATGCAGTGATTACCGTGCCTGCATATTTCAACCAGGCGCAGAGACAAGCGACTGAGGACGCCGGAGCCATAGCTGGTCTCAATGTGCTCAGGATAGCCAACGAGCCCTCGGTGGCCGCGTTGGCATACGGCCTTCACAAGGATTGTTTGTTCGTTGAGCAGAAGAAGAAGGTGATGGTGTTCGACCTCGGCGGAGGCACCTGCGACGTCGCCATTATGGAGATGGGCTCCAAAAGCTGCACTGTGCAAGCTCTGTCCGGGGACACGCATCTGGGAGGAGTGGACTTCGACGAGCGACTGCTGGATCATGTGATCGAGCGCCAAAAGGGCCGTGACACTTCCATCTTGAAGAACCCGAGTCGCTTGACCTGTCTGCGGAGAGCATGTATGCTGGCCAAGCACGAGCTGTCATCCCGCCACAGCGCCATCGTGGAGGTGGACGCTAACGCCGGGCAATTCGTGAGCGTCAGCCGGGCGGTGTTCGAGGAGCTTAATCGAGATCTGTTTGAGAGGTGCATAAATAAAGCCAAAGAAGCTCTCGAAGGAGCGCACGTCCAGGCGTGGGACATCTTCGAGGTCATTCTTGTAGGCGGGTCTACTCGAGTCCCAAAAATTCAGTCCATGCTTAAAGAGCTCTTCGGCGGACGAGATCCTAAGAAGTCCATCAGTGCCGACGAAGCTGTTGCCTACGGTGCTGCGGTGATGGGGGGGATGCTAACCCAAGAAACCACATCTCAGCTCAAAGATCTGACGGTGGTTGAGGTCACTGCGCTAAGTATAGGAGCCGGCATCGGCGGCTGTGAAAGGGACACGGAAGAGATGTGGCGAATGGAGAATGTCATCCAGAGGAACACGGCTCTCCCGGCATCGGGGGGGACCACGCTGTCCACAGCAAGCGACAACCAAACTAGTGCTTGCATCCCCATCTACGAGGGAGAGCGCATTATGTGCAAGGACAATCACTTCATTGGGTCTTTCTTGTTGGATGGACTGCAGTGCTTGCCGAGAGGACAGGCAGAGGTAAGGCTGACCCTGAACGTGGACCTGAACGGACTAATCCATGCGCAGGCTATGGAAATCCGTACTGGGAGGATGAGCTTCGCGACTTTCAGGGGGGAGGAAGCAAGATTGACAGGCGATGAGATCAGGAAGATGGAAGAGGAGGCGAGAATATATCAGGAATATGATGAAGTGACCAGGAGGAGGTGGGAGGCGAGAAGCAGACTGGAGGACAAGATTTACCAAGTGCGCAGGCAGCTGAAAATGACCGCACCATCGACGAATGCGGGCAGGCTTCTTGAGGAGAACGTTGGGCGATTGATGAGCTGGCTAGAGTCGCACAAGGTTCTGCCTACAGTAGAAGAGTGTGAAGGGGAGACGAGAGTGCTTCGGACTCTGTGCGCTGCTGCTGTTGGCATACGCTTCCCCGATCCTTGATTGACGCTAAGCCAACGACGTTTTTTTTTTTTTTTTTCCGCCCTCAAATAGAACACCTTCCTCCCTTTAATCGTGAACGCGTCGAGGGCAGTCGAACACACAGCTCCGCGCATGTCGAAGGAATTGTGTGCTGTCGCTTCCCTGCTTCTCTGTCTGCGCTTCTCGCGTTTATGTTTGTGATTCTTCTTCCTCAGCTTTGTTACTTCGTTTGATGACGTCATGGTATTGTACTACTGTCTTCACCCGAATAGAACGCCCGGTCATTATCGCCGCATCTGGACCGAAAGTTGTGTCAAATACCAGCTATGATGACCGGACGTTCTATAATTCGGGTGAAGACGGTAGGCTAAGTTGCGTATTGTACTTAGTCTCGTGATGATCTAGGAAGTCGGTGTTCACGCCTAGTGCAGACGGTTGGCTGTGTTCTAGCATGGTGATGTGTGTTTAGGGAGTCGGTGTTGGTTGTGTTTTTTCCGGTCTTTCGCACTGTTGGTGCATGTCACGTAGGGATCCCGGCCAATCAGAGATCGTTGGGATGACTCTAGCGGATGTTGCGATGCCACGTGGCTTTTCATTCTTTTTGTACATATATACAGAGTACACAGTCAGTTCTTGAGTCGCGTTTATGTGTAATCCTTTTGTTTCGTGGTCGTTGGGCGGCCGCGGCCCGGGGGAGGCTCGATGAAGAAAACCCGTTTAACCCGATCTCCATCGAAATTGCCGAGGAGAATGACCGTAGTCATGGTATAGTGTAGTGAGCTTGGAAGCGCAAGCGGAATCTATAGCGTTTTCACCCGAATAGAACGCACGGTCTTTATCGCCGTCTCGGAGTCTCCAGAGTCCAGACCGAGCGTTGTCCCAATCCAAATACAACTGTGAGGACCATGTGTTCTATTCGGATGAAGCCTGGTAGTTGTCATTGCACGTAAAGTCCGCCAGCTGCTGTCCGCAAACAGTTCTCGATAGAAGAATTCAAGCCTAAAAAAGCCTAGAAGACGGAAAAGAGGCTGAAAAAGCATATTCAGAAAGAGGGACCAGAGGGTTAATCATACTGCTGGTTGAACCTTCTACCTTCTTCCCCTGAACACAACGCCGCACCATCATGACTGACTGAATGTTGGACAGGAATTTGCATGGCATTGTATAGTAAAAGTCTTAAGCATTGAGAGTGAAAGAAAATGGCGGCTGGATTATAGCCAGCACTGGAAATTTGTACAGTACACTAGAAAGTTGTATAGTAGGTCTTAAGCATTGAGTTGAGAGTGAAAGGCTCTTTCTAGCAATTAATATCCCAAAGAAAATGGCGGCTGGCTTATGTTTAACAGCTTTCCAGTGTGCACTAGAAGGACGGCTGTCATCAGCAGCAGCTGCAGCATTGCTTGAAAGACCCCGTTTCTGGATCCCGTTAGCTGTGGGAGTTGCTGAATTATGGTGAAATCAACATGGGATACTTTGTGGAAAGGGCCCACGTGGAAACCGTTTAGGTGAAAGGGGCCCAAACCTTGCCCATTGGGCCAAAAGCATCTGCCGGAAAAAGAATCTGGTGCAGGTAACAGAGCCAGGTTCACTATCCCATAGGAAGGGGCCCACCCAGCGGGCGGCACCCCATCTCGGCCGCCAGATTTCTTCATCCGACGGCACGTCTTCCTTTGAAAGGACAGCAGTTTTTGCATCCGACGGCACGTCCTCCTTTCGAAAGGATAGCAGCATTATCGACCTCGCTATTTCTACTTCGCTGAAGTTTGATGCTCCACAAGGAGTGTTTAGAAAATGGGACCATCCTCCTCGAGGAGCAGGGCCTACTACGGCTGGGTTGGGCAGCCCTCGAGGGCCTACGGCTGGGCAGCTGGGTCTTATGGGCCAGACGAGAAATCAAGGTTGGAGGACGCAACTCAGTTGGGGTGACATTCTTGTTTGTGAATTTGGAATGCGCGGATGATATGCAGAAGGAATGCTCTAGAAGTCTAGGGTCTTGTTGCAACCGAATGCTCTAGAAGTCTAGGGTCTTGTTGCGACTGAATGCTCTAGAAGTCTAGGGTCTTGTTGCGACTGAATGCTCTAGAAGTCTAGGGTCTTGTTGCGACCGAATGCTCTAGAAGTCTAGGGTCTTGTTGCGACCGAATGCTCTAGAAGTCTAGGGTCTTGTTGCGACCTAATGCTCTAGAAGTCTAGGGTCTTGTTGCGATCACATCAGTTTCCTGTTTGCTGGACTAAGGATGGGAACCAATGTGTGTGTCTGTTTTTTTTTTTCTTTCTTTGATTGAAGAAAGATGGACATAGTACGTTTTGTTTTGTGTGATTCTCTCTCATTCCCTCACATTTGTCACAGTCATTTTACCATAACGGGTCTTATGTGCCCTCGGTTCTTCTCTCTTACGCAAGCCATGGGGGCAGATCTGTTCCAGTCGAGAATAGCTGACTGGTTTAGAGCACATTGACTTTTCAGCTTGGGACTTTCTTTTTGTCCTTCGGGACATTCGTTAAGAGTTGACCGATACAGAGAATATAAACATGAGCCCTGGGCAAGCCTGACAAAGCTGCCAAACTTTTTTTTTTTTTTTTTTTTTTTTAGCTGTCAAAATTTTTGAAAAGGGTAAGGGGGACAAAGAAAACAATAAGAGCTTTAGGATTCTTCGGTCGCTTGGGGAATGCGATCTCCCAAAGAGGTATAACAAGCCACTTAGTCTAAAGGGGCCAGACTTATAGAAAACAACTATTTTTTTGCAAACATTTTGCTGAGAGGAACTTCAGCAAAAAATGCAGACATGATAGGAAGCCCAGCCTGCCCGGCTATAATTGTGCATGGACAATAGTAAAACTATGTGGGGGTACTACGTACATCAGCAAGCATTGAGCCTGACCTAACTGCCCCAAAGTCTGCAATGATGTGATGAGTGATACACGCCATAACTATTGATAGTTTGCTGTCTATATTGACGTGCAGGTAATAGTAAGAACTAAGAAGGAAAGAAATCATCCTGGCAGTCCTTATGCTATTCCGGCGTTGGTGTCAGGCATAAAAGTGGTCTGCCTATCCGCACTGGTGTCTGTGGATGAAACAGTCTGCAGTGATCCCAGAATCAGTACAGTCCACACACACACAAATTTCATTTGATTGCTTAGTTACATTGTGTAATTAATACCAATGACGATCTGAGGCATGAAGCAGCCATGAAGAATTAGTAATTAGTGCTCATGGCTAGGAGAGAATGCACCTCACAAAGTGGCCAACCAATCATCATGCCCGTCTCTCTGTCTCTCTTTCTGTCTCCATCTCTCTTTTTCTCTGTGTCTATCTCTGTTGGTGTGTCTGTCTGTCTGTCTGTCTGCCTCTGTTGCTGTGTCTGTCTGTCTGTCTGTCTGTCTGTCTGTCTGTCTCTGTTGGTGTGTCTATCTGTCTCTCTGTTGGTGTGTGTGTGTGTGTGTCTGTCTGTCTGTCTGTCTCTCTGTGTGTCCGTCTGGCGGCCTGCCGATCCGTTGGTGCGTCAGTGTGTCCATGCCTCAGTTCCATTGGTCCGTCGGTATGTCCATTGGTCTGTTCGTCCGTCCATCCCTCCATTCTGTCGGGCTGTTGGTATGTCCATTGGTTTGTTCGTCTATCCATGCCTCCGTCCCTTCGCAGATGCCTCCGCTCATCTGTCAGTCCGTCAGTCCGTCCGTCCGTCCATCTGTCCATCTCTCTGTTTGTCTGTCTTGCAGTCTACCGGGCTGCCTGCTTCTCTGCTTGCCTGCCTGCCTGCCTGTTAAAAGATTGGGTTTGTAGAACCGGCTGGCCTGTTTATCCGTCTTTCTGAAGTAGTGAGCCTGCTTCTTTTGCACGAACTGAAAGTAATCTAGGGGGGGTGTTGTATGCTATTGGCTTGGACGTTTGAGGTTATTTTTTTTGTGCTTTATTGAGATGATGATCTGATGATCTGAGACCCAGCACCCCCGGACTGATTTATCAACAATCGTAATAGAGGGAGTGCTGTATGCACTAGGGTTGGACGTTTCAAGGTTAATTTTTTTATGCTTCATTGAGATGATCTGAGACCCACCACCCCGGACTGATTTATCAACACTCGTACCAGAGGAACAACCAGAAAGACAAGTGGACTCGTCATCTGTGAAACCAAATCCTCGGTACATGTTCAGACCTGACTGTTGCCGAGTCCCCTCGACACCCCCCCCCCCCCCCCCCCCCCCCCCCCCCCCCCGCCCCAGCCAAATGGGTTAGCCATAAGAACAGAACGATTGCTGAGACCAGTATACAAAAGGGCAGCTATTTTATTTCGAAACTTTCCAGAGGAACGAGTGTAGTTTGCCCTGTAACGAAAGGGACAACTTCCCTAAGGGGGCTATGACTGGCAGACTGCTATGCGCTTGACATGGGATTGCTCTCTGGTCTGCGCTTGACATGGCAATGATGGCATTGCTCTCTGGTTATCAAGACATATCCAGGCATATCAGTATGCACCTAAGTTGCCGTGCGATCAATCACGTCTGACAGAGACATTCTGAGCACTGCAAGACCAGCAGGATCTGTCACTGTATTTCTCCCAAAACGTCAAAAACGAGGCTCTTAGAACAAGCAGTGAACTGAGGCTCCGCTTGGGTTGCTCAAGCCCTTGCCCATTCCTGCTCTTAGAACAAGCTGAAGCCCTGGACGTAATTTCCCTTAGCTTGAGGAGCTTGCAGTGACCAAACAAAAGGCTAGCGTTAAAAAAAAAAAAGCATGGAAACTATGGACTCCACTATGCACTCTAGTTCGTTTCTATGATGTGAGAGACAGAGGGGCCAATTGAGATCATCTCTTCTCAGCCTCCAGGCCTCTGCTGGATGATTAGCAGCCAGGACTTAAAAACAGATCATAAGGGGGAAGGAAAAAAGAAAAAAAGAAGAAGAAGAAGAAAAGAAGGGGTAAGTACGTTCATAACTTATGTCACCTTTGAGTATCGAATGGGCGAAAAAAACACGCTAGGCAAAGAAAACCGTGCCGCGTTCGAAAAGGCAACGGAAGTACCCACTGCCTTGGTGTCAGACCGGGTGTCATATTTACAGGGTCGGCTGTGGTGTCAGAGGGGAAAACAAAAAAAAAAGAAAATGCCCATTTCCCAATGGATACTTTTGGACCGCAATCACTCATTTCGAGTGGGCGCGTGGTTTCTTAACTGCCATTTCGTCAAAATGGACATTTTTTATTTTTTGAAAGAAATTGAAACCGAGTTTTTTGGCCGAAATTTCTGAGGACGCTGGACCCCCTGGATGTACATGGACCTAGCTGTAGACCAGGTACATCCAGGCACTGCCATCCAAGCTTGAGACCAGGTACATCCATGCACCGCCTGGATGGCAGTGCCTGGATGTACCTGGTCTCAAGCTGGGTCCATGTACATCCAGGGGGTCCAGCGTTTTAAGAATGTGGCACCCTCAGATACAGCAAATCTGGACGAGTTTTCGACCAAAAAACTTGGTTTCAATTTCGTTCAAAAAATAAAAAAATGTCCATTTTGACGAAATGGCAGTTTCTTTGCCGCCGTGAGTTTTCTTGGCCTTTAGGGTTTCAAAACAATGCTGCATCCGCCGTTATTTCAAAAAAAAAAGGGAGGAGTTATAAAACCTCCCCACGGCCAAACCTTTGTATTCATTTCTCCCCAAATGGGGAAAAAGTGTTGCAGGCCCCAAACTGACTTTTCCTGTCATTTTTTTTACACCCTGTGAAACACTTTCCTGCCACTTTTGCACAGAGGCATTATGGGCCCAGCAAGGGTGCAAAAGTGACTAGAAAAGTCATTTTGGGGCCTGCGACACTTTTTGCCCTGTCTGGGGGGAAATGAATACAAAGGTTTCGCCGGGGGGAGGTTCTATAACTTTTCCCAAACAAAAAGACAGTGTAGCAATTTAGTAACTTGTAAGTGTTCTTGTTCTTGGTCTGAGCAAACTACGCATCTATCCGAACTGTGGGGGTCTCTTTTCCTTCTCCTGATGTTTAACCAGTGGTCTACATTGCATAACGTACACGTATGGGGCCTTTCCGTACGAAACGTACAGGTAATATCTGTACGGGATCTGTACGGGAACCTGTACGTCTTGTACGCCCCCGTATCTGAAAATGAACTATCAGCACAAAACAAGCAACATTTGGCTGAGCATCATCCACAGATTCTTAATTAGAATTTGAGAAAA